AATCCAACAACATATCAAAAAGATAATCCACCATGATAAAGCAGGTTTCATACTGAGGATGCAGGGATGGTTTAACATACGCAAGTCAATAAATGTGATACACGACATAAACAGAAGTAAAAATCACATGATCATCTCAAGAGAGACAATTGCAAAATTGTGGAACCAACCCAAATGCCCATCAATCAATGAATGGATAAAGAAACTGTGCTGTACCTATACAACGAAATGCTACTCAGCCGTAGAAAATAATGAATTAACGGCATTTGCAGCAACCTGGATGAGATTGGAGGCTAATATTCCAAGTAAAGTAACTCAGGAATAAAAAACCAAACATTGTATGATCTCACTGATATGTGGAAGCTAAGCTATGAGGATGCAAAGGAATAAGAATGATAGAATGGACTTTGGAGACTTGAGGGGAAGGGTGGGAGTGGAGCAAAGAATAAAAGACTACAAATAGAGTGCCGTGTATACTGTTCAGGAGATGGGTGCACCAAAATCTCAGAAATCACCACTGAAGAACTTACTCTTGTAACCAAATACCACCTTTACCCCAATAACCTATGGAATTTTTTTTTAAAAGTATTAGCATATAAATTTGTGATACTATTGGGAAAACATACTGTCAGGTAGGCACTGTAATTATCTTCATTTATTCAATGAGATAACTTGGGAACAAACCTATTCAAAGTCCCAGAGCTCATAGAAACTGCTCTGTTCTCTTAACCACTATTAAACTAATCTATAAGTTAGTATTGAATTATAAACAGTAATAAAATAAATATTAAAGTGCTGTAACTAGATAGTGAAGAAATGTTGCATGATTTTTCCGTCATATAAAATATATATAAAACATTTTTCACTTTGGTAAAATTTTCATGAAATGTATATTTTGAGACACGTTACTAGGGAGTCATAATGGAGCTCAATGGAACTAAAATGGATCTCCAAATGAATAGACAGTATCCATCTGGTCTGTTACCATTTCTAAAATGTCTGTGCTTTTGTTGCACATTAGCATAAGCCCACTAAAATCATTCGTGCTGTAGTCATTGAAGTTTCAACCAAAGGACACATGGAACTCAAAAGCGTTGTCTATATTCTCTGTTTCAATTCCTTGCCTTTCATTCTCTTTCTTTCTCTCTCTCTCTTTCTCTCTCTCATTGACATTTTAATGAAAGAACACATGGAACTCAAAAGCGTTGTCTATATTCTCTGTTTCAATTCCTTGCCTTTCATTCGCTCGCTCGCTCTCATTGAAGTTTTAATGAAAGAACACATGGAACTCAAAAGCATTATCTATATATTCTGTTTCAATTCCTTGTCTTTCATTCTCTCTCTCTATTCTCTATTCCCCCCCCACCCCCACCCCACCTTTGAGAGACAGTCACCCAGGCTGCAATACAGTGGCAGGATCAGGGCTCACTGCAACCTCAGTCTCCTGGGTTCAAGCGATTCTCGTGCCTTAGCCTCCTAAGTAGCTGGGATAAACAGGCATGCACCACCATACCCGGGTAATTTTTGTGTTTTTAGCAGAGATGGGGTTTCATCATGCTGCCCAGGCTGTTCTCAAATTTCTAGCCTCAAGTGAGCCTCCTGCCTCAGCCTCCCAAAGTGCTGAGATTACAGGTGTGAGCCTGGCCTCTCATTCTCTCTTGATCTCACTCATTCCAGTGAGGCTTTTATTTTGTTTTGTTTAACAAGGAATAGCGTTTAATAAAGAGACTGGACATACTAGGATTTGAGTTTACAGTTAGTTATTCCAGAGCTATATGATTTTAACAGGTTAACCTATTGAAATGTCAATTCCTTTATCTGAGGAATAATAATAGTCAAAATATAAATAGTACCTGTTATGAAATATGCATTGTCCTCAGCAATTAACAGAAATTAATCCACTTAATTCTCACAACAAACATATGGAGTAGGTTTATTACAAATACAAAGGGATTAAATAAATTGAGGTCCTTTAGTAAGTAAAAAGCAAAGCATGGACTTGAATCCAGGTGTTCTGCCCCAAGGGTCCTTTATCTTTTTTTTTTTTTTTTTAAATTATAGATTGACAGGACATTGCAATATTTGTACAAAGAGGTTCATTCACCCTTCTTCCCCCATGATCACAGGTTATATAAGTATAATAAATACCTAAACCAGGAAACTGATCCTCATATATGTTTAAAATATGTATGTATGCATGTAAGTATATATGTATTTATTTATTTATTGTTTTTTGAGACAGAGTCTCACTCTGTCGTCCAGGGTGGAGCGCAGCGGCAAGATCCGGGCTCACTGCAACCTCCGCCTCCCAGGTTCAAGAGATTCTCCTGCCTCAACCTCCTAAGTAGATGGGATTACAGGCGAGCGCCACTACGCCCGGCTAATTTTTTGTATTTTTAGTAGAGGCAGGGTTTTGCCATGTTAACCAGGATGGTCTTGATCTCCTGACCTCTTGATCCGCTGGCCTCGGCCTCCCAAAGTGCTGGGATTACAGGCGTGAGCCACTGCATCTGGCCTAAAATATATATTTATATGTTTAAATATATGTATATAATGCATATATGTCATTTTTATTACACACTTATTTATGTTGTCATCACTGCAATAAAGATAAATTTTCCATCACCACAAAAATCTTTTTTGGCACTCCTATGTACTCAAACTGCAACATCTCTAGCCCCTTCCATTCAGGCTTTTGCTTCACTGCACTGAGACTGTTCTTGTCAAGGTTACTCATAAATCCATTAGTCAAGTCCCCATGTTATTCAGGCAGCCATCAGCATTGGACGTGGTGAATCACTTCCTCCACTGAAGCCATTTTTTCTCTTGTCTTCTGGCTCACCATTCTCTTGGTTCTCCCCCAACCTCATATGCTCATATGCTCTTGGTTCTCCTCCAACCTCATATGCTCTCAGTGTCTTTTGCTGGTTTCTCTTCCTCTCTTCTCAATCCTGACAGCTTTATATTAACTCAGTTCTCAGACGTCTATTCTTGTCTTCTATCTTTTTGCTTTACACTTACTCCCAAGATCTTAAATACAGTATGATTTCAAATGTGTATCACTAAGTTGGGGTTCTTCCAAATACTGTATTCATTTACCCAGTTGTTCACTAGACAACTCACTCAAATCTAACATTCCATTATAAAGTTAACATTTCCAGAAACAAACTCCTGATTTACCCTTCCCAAATCAACTTTTTATGACATTTTACTCATTTTAATGAATATTCTTCCAGTGGTTTAACTCCAAAACATGTGCTTTTAATCACGTTCTACTGCAATTATCATAGATCTCCTCCACAAAAACAAGTCAGTACATAAGTAAATAAACAGAGAATTACATTTAAACTGGTACCTTGATCTCTTTCTACTCCAAAAACTGACAATAAAGAAATATAGTCTGGCCAGGTGCGGTGGCTTATGCCTGTAACCCCAGCACTTTGGGAGGCCAAGGTGTGTGGATTGCCTGAGGTCAGGAGTTTGAGACCAGCTTGGACAGTATGTTGAAACCCCCATCTCTACTACATATGCAAAAAAATTAGCCAGGCATGGTGGCAGGTGCCTGTAAATCTCAGCTACTCAGGAGGCTCAAACACAAGAATAGCTAAACCGGGGAGGTGGAAGTTGCAGTGAGCCGAGATAGCGCCAGTGCACTCCAGCCTGGGTGACAGAGCGAGACTTTAGCGCCAAAATGAAATATATGTTCTAGTTAAATTAAAATCTTCTATCTACCCAAACCATTTCAAAATAAACTCAATGTGCCAGGTAAACTCATGATTCAAAAACAATACCTTTTTGTCAAAAGGCAAGCGGAACATGTAACCAGTTGTCTCAAGTTGACATTTCACATTTCAACCTATTTCCATAACAATGCAAGTTACTTGAAAGCAGAGACTGTGTTTTCCTCATTTACAGATTCCCAGCAGCTACTGAAGTGCCTCACACATGACAGGCATACAATAAATATTGATCATATAAATAAAAAATAATTACAACTAAAAGAAAGTAGATTTCAGGGTAAAAAAAAAAAGCAGTGGTTAATGCCATATGCTGCATAAATACATTAATAAATTCCATCTTACAAAATTGATATGCAGATAATATTTTTAATAATACAAGAGGAATCAGCTTGCAATTTTTTAATTCCTTAAGTAAATTTATTAATAAGTTAAATGTATTAATTTCTAGTATCTATTATACCACTGCACAAATAATGAGATTATAATAGTGCTACCACAAAATCTAACAACTTTAATGGAATGTTTTAGTGATAATTCAATTGTGAGCTATTGGTCATAACCAAGTACATGCCACAACTCAAACATCCACACCTATAAATTGATACTGGTTATTGTACATACACAGCTGCTTTCTATGAGCTGATGGGAATTTCTTTGACTAAAAAAAAAAAAAAATCAGGGAAGAATACTTTGGGTTTAGTTTTTTTTTGTAGTTAAGAGTAAAGGCTTAAAGATAGAGCGCCAGTTGCTTTGTTATTTTTATACAACTTTTCTTTTTCTCTTCACTGTCAATGGCACACTTTGGCACAGTCAGTGTTGGGCTTTAGAATATTTGTCTGACTTTTCTCACTGCCATATATGGCATAAATAAAGTGCCCCACTTACATGAGAGTTTTTCCCACTCAGCATCATGTTGAGTGCTTTACAGATTGGGTGTGCTCAAAATGATTCAAGGGTGCATGCAAGTGAGCTGTAGATAAGAGGAGGAATAATGCAGCTTCCACACAGTCATTGGCACTGGCGTATGTTGAATACATAGAAGCATCTTCATTAAAAAACGATGCTACTTGCTGAGTGTTTGGGTTGATTTACACAGACAGTACAGTGTATTGTCTTTGATGTCCAGTAGCATGAAAACTATATGTATAAGTCTGAGTATATCGAGCTGTCTGTTAAAATTTTTATATAACATATTTGCATTTTATTCAGGATCATCAAACAGGGAAATCAAAGTACAATCACCTTGTTTTTTTCCTGTAGGTTGAAAGCACTACAAATTAAATGACTCTGCCAAGTTCCCAACCGGAGGAGAGAAAAAAATCAGCTTTGCTGTTTGTTGTTAAATGTCAGCAAAAGTCACATTTTAAAAAGGTTTTTTAAAAAATTTAAGCTCTAAGGTCAATGATCTCTTGTATTAATAAAGGATTTCATCCAGAGGAAAAGAGCAAAGATGAAATGTGCATGTGGATTCATAATCAACTTGAAACACCAAGGAGGCAACTCAGTCCCAATTAAATGAAAAATATTTGCCCAAAGCTTTCTTGAAGTTTTCCAAAATCCTTCTTAGTACAAGTTGTTCCTATTAAAAGTACTACAGATTGGATTCTCAATAATTTGACTAATGTATAGACTAATGGTTTTTTATTAATTTATTTTTCGTTAAGACAGCTTTAGATCCTAAACATTTTCACTTCACTAGTTTTGAAAAGTTCTCTCAGAGTCTCATGGCATTTTCTTGATAATAAAGATAGGCTGTGATGTCAAAAATAAAAACCAAGCCCGAATAGAGCTTATATCTATATATAAGTTCTCAGAAAGGGGTGTGATTTGGTGAATTCACATTGATGCTTTTTTGGGTTCATGCTGCATTTTAAAAGTTTTCTTAAAGTCACAAACCTTCCATAAAAGAGTACCGCTAATATTTAGGGTGAAGTATGTGGAATTCTAGCTTGATCTTTTACCTCTTTCATGTGCCAATCCCCTTTGGCTTATTGTAGTTAATTAAAAATTAGTTACTTTTTTATGTCTCTTAGTATTTGTGATGAAAGACTGAAGAACTGAGATCTCACTAATGTTTTTATTTTTTTCCACATGTATTTATCATCATTCCATATCTATGAGAAGATTTGTCACAGTGAGTTAATATCAGAACTCAAATTTAACTTACAACTCGTACCAAGACAGCTGAGCATCTTTGCCTTCCTGTATTTTGCAGATGACCTTAAATTGGATACACATCTCTCTCTTTTTCAGCACTTGGAAATAATAGACAAGGGTATTATCAAGCAGGGCGTCTTCTGTGAAAGCAGGAAAATCAAAGAATTCCTCTTGCAGCCTCTGCACCCTTCCTTGTCCCTGATAACTTCTCATGACCAACTTGCTGGGGCTTACACTGGTACCAGTGTCCCAGTGGCCTCGCACTCTGTCCCACACCTTCCAAGAAGTGTCCAAATATATTCTTGTCTCTAACTCTTCAAGAAACATTATTTTCCATTTGTCTTATTTTCTCAGAGACAAATTTGTGGATCAATTTCTTGATTTCAAAGAACATGTAGCTTCATGTGAAGTTAGCAACACCCATACAAAGTATAAGAACCAGTCTTTTGAAGATACTAAGACAAAACAAAACAAAAACAACAAAAAAGAATCCAACTATTGGCCACCTATAGCACTAAAAATCATCAAGACAAAATTAAACACTTTAAAATTTGGGGTATTTTTATTTTTGAATAATGTTTTTAATTCTAAAAAGAACAAAGAATAATCTAATAACTACCCATATTTTACCATCCAAAATTAATAGGTTAGGTTTTTGGCAAATTTACTGAACTACGTTTTGCATATTGCTACATTTTAAAATAAGATCTATATAATACATAAACGTGCTAGACTTTCTATTTGGCAAGTTATAAAATGTGAACATAACTGTCAAAGTTTTCCTGAAAACACTATAACAAATTTATGACAATTCTTGTTTCTTATGTGGATCAATCATAAGTATTGGTCACACACATTAAAATTTAAAAATGAGTTATTAGAATGAAGAAAATAAATATTAAATAAGTCAGACTATGTATATGAGTTAATAAGCCTCCTTATTAAGGGCTTACTATGTGTCAGATATTATGTATGTTTGTGTGTATATATATATGTATATATCTCATTTCCACATTCACCCTGGCTTCAACCAGGGTTTGGCATTTTCAAGAAATTTGAAATATTGAAGTGCCTGTTTTTTTTTTTTTCTTTTAACTCCTATTTTTTATTTGAGAAAGCCAGAAGCACATAAGGTTAAATGACTCCACCAAAGCCTCACAAGTGAATATGTGATTTGATCCTTAATCTGCCTGATGGTTAAACCTGTGCTGCTGACTAGACAAAACTGGACACTCTTCCTGTATTAGGGTTCTCTTAGAGGGACAGAAATAATAGGGTATATCATTATTATATTAGGGTACTCTTAGAGGGACATAACTAATAGGATATATACATATTTATATATATATGAATATAAAATAGGACTAATAGGATATATATAATATGTATCTCCTAATATATATCCTAATATATATGTGGGGAATATATATATATATATCCATATATATAGATATATCCTAATATATATATATGTGTATATATGGGGAATTTATTAAGTATTAACTTACATGATCACAGGGTCCCACAATAGGCTGTCTGCAAGCTGAAGAGCAAGGAGAGCCATTCTGAGTCCCAAAACTGAAGAACTTGGAGTCCAATGTTCGAGGGCAGGAAGCATCCAACATGGGAGAAAGATGTAGGCTGGGAAGCTAGGTCCATCTCTCAGTTTTCACATTTTTTCTGCCTGCTTTATATTCCCTGGCAGCTGATTAGATTGTGCCCACCCAGATTAAGGGTGGATCTGCCTTCCCCAGCCCACTGACTCAAATGTTAATCTCCTTTGACAACACCCACAGACACACCCAGGATCAATACTTTGTATCCTTCAGTCCAATCAAGTTGACACTCAGTATCAAACATCACACTTCCTACCATGTTACCATGCAGATATTTTCCACAAATACTATGGCAGGTAGTAATCATTATAAAAATAGTGTTTTTTCTGGCATTATTTACTTTAAGAGAAAGTTTATATTTGACTTATTGAATAAACTACAAATTAAATTTGAGACAGTTGGTGTATTTTAACATATGAATTATTATTTAAAATTTGACTTGATACACAAGCTGAGATGGGATTTGGCTGATCAATGTGAAAAGGGAATTTTTTTGTAAATCAAAATGATTATTTTAGCCAGATTCATTTTCATTAATATTAAAACCAATATTTACTGGCGTGGGTTGCTTCTCTCATAGGGCATATCTAAGTTAAAATATTAATTTTGGCCAGGTTTTAGCTCATAACATGGCCTAATTGCCGTTTAACATTTTCAAGAAATTCGAAATATTGAAGTGCATGGTTTTTGTTGTTGTTGTTGTTGTTGTTTTTCTAAAAGACAATAAATGCCTTTAGCACCTGCATAGTAACTGTTGCTTAAAAAACATTGCAGGCTGATTTTACTCAGCTGGGGTCCAAAGGAGCTTATGTTTCAGTCATTCACTGGTAAAATTTCCCATTGACTTGGATTTCCCAAACTTAATCAGTCAATATTATTTTTCTATGAAACCAGTTGATATCTAATGATTTATGTGTATACCATCAACTATACATATAAAACCATGTAAACAACTAGCTGCAGATAATTATTTCTCCTCTTTATTTGCCAAAATATTTATTAGCATAAATGATGTTGTAAGAGGAATCCATAACCAACCTGATAGAGGCAACCTACCTAACATACTTTTTGTGTATCCATTTACAGATAAACAACTACATAATTTAATAAAACTTATATATTCGTTAATAATTTGCCTTAAATGATATAATTGTCTTTGGTTAATGTATGTAAAACAAATACACATTTTTTAAAGTAATCCTTTACGGTATCTATGCTTCAGTGAAACAAAAAATGTAGGTTTCTTAAATGTTATTACTTCATTTATATTATAGGTGTTCTTGTTGTTGTTGTATTATAAGTGACATAAAAAACTGTGTCTAAAAACTGCAGATTTCTAGTTCATTTGTACCTTGAAAATCCAACTAAATAGCTCAAGACCACTCCACATGTGTTTGGGAATTTTGACACATTTCTTCGGATATCTGAGGATGGCTTCCCAGGTGGGTAATGTGAAAGCTTACATTCTCCTGGTCATTTGTGCCTTCAGGTTCAGTTGCCTCTTCTCAGGTTGACTCCTGGTGCCCACTCCACTTTACCCTGTGCAGAGGCACTGGCCCTCTCCTTTAATTTTTTAAGCAAAGCATCAATCATGCAGTTGCAGCATTTAGTGAACTTTTACTTAGGTTTCAGGAATAAACTAGAGGTCTGGTTTACTGCTCAAAACAGAAAAATAATCTCAAAATAAAATATTAGACTCCACATTTTTTTTAAGTAATTTGGACACCCTTCCACCAGAAATTTACACTGCTCATTTTTCTCCTTTCAGTTGAGCCTGAACTACTTATTGGGAGCCTTCTTTCTCAGGATCACACTTTCCTATTCCACACCAGCTTTCCTATTCTCTTCCAGCTAGGTGCCTCCACACTCTCTCTCCTGCAGATTGTTCTTGATTTCTCATATAGGACATAATATTGTTCTTATTTTAAACTTTTCTTATGTTTAGGTAAGTTTCTTAAATACTTTCATAATCAAAGGTTAATTCACAGCGTTTTCTAATTTTTTAAGTCATCTAACTTAGTTATCTTAATAAATATAAAACCAAAATATATTATTTTCATTTTCCATTTGCCTGAGTTTAGTCAATTTTTAAATTGAATTCTACTTACAACTTTTTTTAGTAATCCATTTGAAATCATTTTGGAAGAATGTTATATAAACTATACTATATAAATTATTGATACATAGACATATACACACATACAATACTTTACCTTTATTTATTCTCCTACTGTGTGATGCATCACACATAAAAAGTCTGCCGAAAATCTAGATCACATAGATCACATAAACAACTTGATTCAGAACAATCGTTTTTTTTTTGTTTGTTTTATTGGGATAAGTTAAAGATGTATAAATTAGCTTTTGAATGTTTTAGAAATTATAATCCATTATTAAGCTCTGTAAGTGCAATGCCCTTTTCCAAGTGAATTTTCCTTAGAAATAATAGCAAAATTTACTTGCAACCTTTTTTTTTTAGTACCAATAGTGCACCCAATTGAAGCTAGCACATGTAAAGCATAGTTCTTGCCCCAGAACTTTCACTGTATAAATAGCTAAAAGAAATATGCAATTATTCTGCATTTGTTTCTAATTGTTCTAATTATCTCATTTATCTAGAAATATTCATCCCTCAGCTTTGACTTTTGTTGCCTTAGAGAGCATTCTATTTTTTTTTCTACCCTCACCATAAATGTATGATTCTTTGGGGAGGGAAGAGGGCCTTCTTCACTACTGCATATTAAGCAAGGCACTTCCCATAAATATTACTTTTAAAGTCATCAA